TTTCCGTAAAGAAATTTTTCCTAATTTCCAACCTAAACCTCCCCTGGCGCAGCTTGAGCCCATTTCCTCTTGTCCTATCGCTAACTACGTGGGAGAAGAGACCAACACCCACCTCACTACAACCTCCTTTCAGGGAGTTGTAGAGAGCAATAAGGTCTCCCCTCAGCCTCTTCTCCAGGCTAAACAACCCCAGTTCCCTCAGCCGCTCCTCATAAGGCCTGTGCTCCAGACCCTTCACCAGCCTTATTGCCCTTCTCTGGACACGTTCCAGCACCTCATACCTGTGCATCCTAAGCCACCAGAGCTTAGAAGACTTCTGAGGCTCATAGAATTTGCATCCAGAGGACACCGAGACCAAAAAAAAAAAAAACCACCAAACCCCCCAAAACCCACCCAACCAAATTATTTAGGCCCCAAAGTCATCACACAAAGGAAATTTAAAGCCCTATATTGCCTTGTGAAATTCAGATGCCTCCAGCGCTCCTAAATTGTCCAGTTATGTGATGAATGAGGTGGGAGGGATGTGATAAAATAGTCCTCATGGGGCTATATAGGCTGCCCTGGGGGGTTATGATTAGGAGCCAGGCTCTGCCTATTCTCTCTACAGAATAGAAAGCAAAGAGGAGGTTCTATTCTGCCTGTTTTGCCCTGGCCCTTGTCCTTTCCTACCCTTACATGCATTTAAAAGGGAGCAGGAAACTCCCTGTAGAGCTGTTAGTACAGTGCGATCTTGCTCTTTATATCAGAGCAGCCACAGAGTGAAAAGCAGTAGTGTCATTTGAGGTAGCCTGGGCATGTGTGCCAAGACGATAAAGCAAAACCACCTGCTCTAGCACTGACCTTCCCAAAACCAAGTCTTCCCCTGGAAGCATCTGTTCTTTTCTGTCTGCTTCATTTATTTGATTGCTTCATCGGGACACAATTAATGAAAAGAGTAGACTAATCAATTAATGAAGAGAGTTACCTTGAGCAGAAGGTAATGATTTCTTGGCTAAGAAAGGTACATGTGGCTTGCTATTTTATAATCTTCAAAAGATAATTTTGGTCTGTGGATAGGGGATGATTATTTGCTGAAATTTAAAGTTAGAAAAATCTTACTCGGAAATAGTTTATTTGGAATTCAGTGTATTTGCGTGCATGTAAACATCTGTATATTCTTACTGTGTTCTTGCTAAAAAACTAGATTTTCATACATGGGGTTACGACTGCATATTTTGGCACCTGGGTACTCCTCCCCCCCGCCTTCCCAAGCTCTTTCCAGCTAGTGAGTGTTTCTTTTTCTGTCTATCCCACTTCCTTTTCTCTGGCTCCTTCCAGCTGCCAGTGTCTCCTGCTCACCCCACTCTCACTGCCTTACAGCTCTTTTTCCTGGTGGTAGCAACAGCCTTGGGGCAGATCTAGGCACACTTCCCCTTATTTGGCCCACTTTCAGGTGGCTTTGCTGTGTCTTTGCATAGAAAGCAACAAGAATTGTGTTTGTCAGAAAGATTTCTGAAGCGTTGATGCAAGGGCTGAGCTGGATAGGAATGAAGAAAAGTAGTTGGGGAATAAGGAACCAGGCGATCGGATGAAGCAGTCCATACTGCCCTTTGGTTTGATGTACCAGCTTTGGAGGGCTCCAAACAATTATCACATGCTTACACTTTTGCTGTTACAAGATTAGTTTCCAGCAAAATTTCACAAACATGACCATCTGCAGCATTTTGCTGCGGTGATTTGAGAAAACTGACATCAAAAGCAGAAAGTGTTTTTAAATGTATATGCGGGCAAATTCTTGTTCTTTCTCCCTCTCCGTATTGGTTTCTTGTCCAGTATTTCCTGGTTGCCAGTATTTGGGATCACAACCTGGGGACTTTGCCAACTGTTGTGGTTTTTCTTTTTAACTCACTGGGATCTGACCCTGTAGATTGCATACCTTTGCCTAATGTCATTTGTGACTAGCTCCAAAGCAAAGCTTGGTCATGAACAGCTGAGAAACCTGTGTCAGCTTGAGGCTGTTTAAATCAGATTTCACAAATTTCTAGGCAACTTCAGATGTTTAATTTTTCTGCTTTTTTTTAGCCTTAAGCGTGAATGTGCTGGGGTTTCTAGCAGTGTTTC